TGTGTGTGTGTGTGTGTGTGTGTCTAACAGCTGTATGATGTGTGTTTGTGTGTGTCTAACAGCTGTATGGTGTGTGTGTAACAGCTGTATGATGTGTGTGTGTGTGTGTGTGTGTAACAGCTGTCTAATGTGTGTGTGTTTGTGTGTGTGTGACAGCTCTCTCTTGTGTGTGTGTGTGTGTGTGTGTGTCTAACAGCTGTATGATGTGTGTGTGTGTGTAACAGCTGTAGGGTGTGTGTGTGTGTGTGTGTGTGTAACAGCTGTCTAATGTGTGTGTGTTTGTGTGTGTGTGACAGCTCTCTCTTGTGTGTGTGTGTGTGTGTGTGTGTCTAACAGCTGTATGATGTGTGTGTGTGTGTAACAGCTGTAGGGTGTGTGTGTGTGTGTGTGTGTGTAACAGCTGTCTAATGTGTGTGTGTTTGTGTGTGTGTGACAGCTCTCTCTTGTGTGTGTGTGTGTGTGTGTGTGTCTAACAGCTGTATGATGTGTGTGTGTGTGTAACAGCTGTAGGGTGTGTGTGTGTGTGTGTGTGTGTAACAGCTGTCTAATGTGTGTGTGTTTGTGTGTGTGTGACAGCTCTCTCTTGTGTGTGTGTGTGTGTGTGTGTGTCTAACAGCTGTATGATGTGTGTGTGTGTGTAACAGCTGTAGGGTGTGTGTGTGTGTGTGTGTGTGTAACAGCTGTCTAATGTGTGTGTGTTTGTGTGTGTGTGACAGCTCTCTCTTGTGTGTGTGTGTGTGTGTGTGTGTCTAACAGCTGTATGATGTGTGTGTGTGTGTAACAGCTGTAGGGTGTGTGTGTGTGTGTGTGTGTGTAACAGCTGTCTAATGTGTGTGTGTTTGTGTGTGTGTGACAGCTCTCTCTTGTGTGTGTGTGTGTGTGTGTGTGTCTAACAGCTGTATGATGTGTGTGTGTGTGTAACAGCTGTAGGGTGTGTGTGTGTGTGTGTGTGTGTAACAGCTGTCTAATGTGTGTGTGTTTGTGTGTGTGTGACAGCTCTCTCTTGTGTGTGTGTGTGTGTGTGTGTGTCTAACAGCTGTATGATGTGTGTGTGTGTGTAACAGCTGTAGGGTGTGTGTGTGTGTGTGTGTGTGTAACAGCTGTCTAATGTGTGTGTGTTTGTGTGTGTGTGACAGCTCTCTCTTGTGTGTGTGTGTGTGTGTGTGTGTCTAACAGCTGTATGATGTGTGTGTGTGTGTAACAGCTGTAGGGTGTGTGTGTGTGTGTGTGTGTGTAACAGCTGTCTAATGTGTGTGTGTTTGTGTGTGTGTGACAGCTCTCTCTTGTGTGTGTGTGTGTGTGTGTGTGTCTAACAGCTGTATGATGTGTGTGTGTGTGTAACAGCTGTAGGGTGTGTGTGTGTGTGTGTGTGTGTAACAGCTGTCTAATGTGTGTGTGTTTGTGTGTGTGTGACAGCTCTCTCTTGTGTGTGTGTGTGTGTGTGTGTGTCTAACAGCTGTATGATGTGTGTGTGTGTGTAACAGCTGTAGGGTGTGTGTGTGTGTGTGTGTGTGTAACAGCTGTCTAATGTGTGTGTGTTTGTGTGTGTGTGACAGCTCTCTCTTGTGTGTGTGTGTGTGTGTGTGTGTCTAACAGCTGTATGATGTGTGTGTGTGTGTAACAGCTGTAGGGTGTGTGTGTGTGTGTGTGTGTGTAACAGCTGTCTAATGTGTGTGTGTTTGTGTGTGTGTGACAGCTCTCTCTTGTGTGTGTGTGTGTGTGTGTGTGTCTAACAGCTGTATGATGTGTGTGTGTGTGTAACAGCTGTAGGGTGTGTGTGTGTGTGTGTGTGTGTAACAGCTGTCTAATGTGTGTGTGTTTGTGTGTGTGTGACAGCTCTCTCTTGTGTGTGTGTGTGTGTGTGTGTGTCTAACAGCTGTATGATGTGTGTGTGTGTGTAACAGCTGTAGGGTGTGTGTGTGTGTGTGTGTGTGTAACAGCTGTCTAATGTGTGTGTGTTTGTGTGTGTGTGACAGCTCTCTCTTGTGTGTGTGTGTGTGTGTGTGTGTCTAACAGCTGTATGATGTGTGTGTGTGTGTAACAGCTGTAGGGTGTGTGTGTGTGTGTGTGTGTGTAACAGCTGTCTAATGTGTGTGTGTTTGTGTGTGTGTGACAGCTCTCTCTTGTGTGTGTGTGTGTGTGTGTGTGTCTAACAGCTGTATGATGTGTGTGTGTGTGTAACAGCTGTAGGGTGTGTGTGTGTGTGTGTGTGTGTAACAGCTGTCTAATGTGTGTGTGTTTGTGTGTGTGTGACAGCTCTCTCTTGTGTGTGTGTGTGTGTGTGTGTGTCTAACAGCTGTATGATGTGTGTGTGTGTGTAACAGCTGTAGGGTGTGTGTGTGTGTGTGTGTGTGTAACAGCTGTCTAATGTGTGTGTGTTTGTGTGTGTGTGACAGCTCTCTCTTGTGTGTGTGTGTGTGTGTGTGTGTCTAACAGCTGTATGATGTGTGTGTGTGTGTAACAGCTGTAGGGTGTGTGTGTGTGTGTGTGTGTGTAACAGCTGTCTAATGTGTGTGTGTTTGTGTGTGTGTGACAGCTCTCTCTTGTGTGTGTGTGTGTGTGTGTGTGTCTAACAGCTGTATGATGTGTGTGTGTGCGTGTGTGTGTGTAACAGCTGTATTGTGTGTGTGTGTGTGTGTAACAGCTGTCTAATGTGTGTGTGTTTGTGTGTGTGTGTAACAGCTGTCTAATGTGTGTGTGTTTGTGTGTGTGTGTGTAACAGCTGTCTGATGTGTATGTGTGTGTGTGTAACAGCTGTCTGATGTGTATGTGTGTGTGTGTGTAAAAGCTGTCTGGTGTGTGTGTGTGTGTGTG